AGATAGACAGATAGACAGATAGACAGACAGATAGATAGATTTAGATAGATTTAGATAGATTTAGATAGATTTAGATAGATAGATTTAGAGAGAGAGAGAGATTAAAAATATATATTAAAAATTTCAAAACGAAACAAATACAAAAAAACAAAATACTCACTATGCAATCTAAACTACCATGTGTCACATACCCATGGGACCCCTTAGAACAATACTTCTAATATGAGCTTAATTTCCAGAATTGTATTGATTGTTGTTTAGAGGCTTTTCCCTTTCCTTTCACTAATACAAATTCAACAAATCTACCCCAAATAGCATAAAAATATTTGAATTTATTTCCCCTCTTTTCATCTGAAGTTCAGTAGTCAATTTATCATTTAATGCAATGTCCCACACTTCATTATACCAATCTTCTAATTTAATATCATTTTTATCTTTCCAGAATCTAGTTATTAATATTCTAGTACTTGTCATAAAATTGGAAATCAATTCCTTTGAGCAATAATCAAGTTCTATCTTATCAAAACTTGACAGCAAAACATTTGTAGAATTAAGTTCGATGTCTTTTCCAAATATATCACATATTTCCTTAAAAATCAATTTCTAAAATTTCTGAATCAATTTACACTCCCACCAATTTCTTCATCACATTTCCAATAGGCTTTAGAATAGTCTGAATTTATTATGTTCAATTTCACTGGAGTCATGTACCACCTTGAGCTAATTTTTTAAATTTCCTTTATTGTTACCGACATTAATCTCAAAACTCTCATCTTCCAAATTTTATCCAATCCTCTGTTTTAATTTCTGTCTTTAAATCATGTTCCCAAATTGATTTCAAACCTTCTGTTTCTGTCCCTTTTTCCTCTTGTTCCAAAATTAGGTTATAAATTCTACTTACTACTTATAAATTCTACTTACTACTCCCTTTATCAAAGCATCTTTCTTGCATGTCTTCATGTGATGATATAAATTGTTTGTACTTAGTACATTCTCTACATTTGCCCTTAGTTTTCAACCATGCATTTGTCCAACTATCTAATTGGATATAGTTATACCATGATATTTTTTTAGTTTGAAGTTTAACTATAATCTGATCCTTACAATCTCATTTTAATAATCCAGTTATTCAATCTGGCAACGTTTTTCTCCTTAAGCATATCAGCTAAACCCTTCAAGTTTGCTCAGTCAATAATTTACACCATACTTTTTTACTTTTTACTTTATTTAGACTTATATCCCGCCCCTCTAGACAAAGTCTACACCATCATTAACTATTACTTCTGAAGAATTATCTGAATATAATTGGTCTATGACTCCTATAAATCTTCTACCAAATCCCCAACCCTTTATATGCAGCTTTAATGTTGGCCAATCAAAGACCTTACATATGTCTAGTGATAAAACAGTTGCCTTTGTTTTTACCTTTTCTACTTCATATATAATATTCAAAACTTGCCTAGCTGAATTATCCATTTGTCTTCCCTTTATAAAGCCACATTGATCCTCTTTAATAGAATTTGCTATAAATCTATTCAGTCTATTTGCTAGTATAGCAGTAAAAATCTTGGCATCTCGATTTATTAGAGATATAGGCCTATAAGATCCTGGATCTGTTCGGAGGAGTTCCTCTGACCCTTGCCTGCTCTCCTGGTTATGCAGTTGAGCACCAGAGTAGACTGGAGGGGGGGGGGAGTAGCCATTGTTTATAGAAATACCTTGGAGGTTATTAGGCGCTCTTCAGTGCTGAAGCTGGGCTTGGAGGCCCTCCACGTGTTGATTGGGGCCAGGGATGGTATTGGGATATTACTGGGTTATCGCGCTGCCGTGACCCAGCCACCTCTCCACCAGAGCTGGCAGACTTTGTTCTCCACTGAGCAGAGCAAGTGTGGTCTGATGATGACTGATCTTGTTTCAGTTCCCTTGTCATGGTCAGATCACCACCAAATAAAATGTAACCTCTCAGTGGCTCTCCCTCCCCGCAGGGAGCAGGGTCTGCCCTCGAAAGCTACTGGATCCATTGCAATTCCAGGATGCCATGAGAGGGATTCCAGCGGTACTGTCTGCGCTCCTCTCAAGGCTCTGGTTGATGGCTGGCTTGCTGCCGCCACTAGGGATGTAGACACGATCACTCCTAAATGCCCTCTCTGGCACACAGCTCGGCCAGGGCCCTGGTTTAATCATGAACTGTGAGCTATGAAGCGAAACAGGAGATGGCTAGAGCACAAATGGAGAGGGAAACCAATGGTCTATAATAAGAAAGCAGTCAGGATCGCGACTAACCACTACCTTGCTAAGGCGCGGGCTGCTAGATGATCATACTTAGCTAACTGGATAAGCAAAGCTTCAAATCAGCAGGCGGAACTCTTCCGTATAGTTTGTGATCTATCCGGAATTGGTCTAGGTGACAGGCCTCCTACTAATATCTCCCCTGACCAACTTGCAGCATTTTTAAAATCTAAAGTGGAGGCCATCTGCCAGGATCTCTCTCCTTTTTTAAATACAGTGGATCGAGCAGAGATGTCCAGCGCTCCGTCTTACCTGGTGAGATTTGAATTCTTTCAGGCTGTGACGCCAGACATGGTAGACAAAGTGCTTGATCACTG